CCCCCCCAGGGGCGCTATTGCATTTAAACAAGGGGAAGTTTGGCTCGGTGACTACTTCACAAACTAATTGTAAAGAATTTTTTGTATCTTTTCAACGTTGTTGGCTGTGAGTATTTTGTTTAGTAATCACTTGGCCAGTCTTTGGGTAGGATTATATTAATGCCGGTACCAATGGCGTGTTTTCTGTTGCCTCTCTATCGGGAAAATTACCAGTTCTGCTTAAAAAGAAAAGCAACTTGCCCTGTCATATTATTGCTAGTCAGAATTTCTCAACTGCGCTGTTGCAATTCAGGTAGTTATTGATGGTCGTTAACCCTATGAGTTTGAGCACAGGCCTGAGTGTCGACTACCTCTACCCTTCTGTGCAAGGAACGCACACCTTAACTACAAATCTAGCTAATGACCAAAGGGAGCTCAGGTGCGTATGTCGTTAAGGCTCAGGGCACCAGGACTCAAAGGGCTAATCAAATAATTCTAGGTGGTGCCCTTAAATTAAATGTAAGTGTTGGATCCTGGCATTAATATTACAGTTCAACCCTTCCCCACCTCTAAACGCCCGAGTTGGAGTCTTCCTGTTTGAATGTGAAGAATGCCCAGTGTTATGGGATGACCAATAGCAGCAACAGTTTCCTTTTTGTTGTTGACATTGCTATTTCAGTGAAATTGTGATAACTGTTTCCATTTGAACTTTTCCTCAATTTTACTTAATACCTTGTGTGGATCCATGTGTTGATGCTTATATGAAGTATTACATCACTGTGATGGTAGATAATGATCCCAACGATATGACACTTGACCCCTATGTATTTGTCAACACATTCATGTTGCATGTCTTTTTGTTTGCTTTTCATTTTTTGTTTGGTTCTGTTAAATTTGTTTTTTTGTTGTTTTTTTCTCAAAAGGCTGTGGCATTTACATTTCCATTTTTATCTTTATTAAAACATTTTTTTCCCAATGCTTTGATTGAGAATAGAATGAAGGTGTGAGACTGCTTAATTTTTAAAACGCTTTATCATGTATTAAAGAACAGCTGTTGATTTGACACATTGTTAAGTCATAAACATCAGACTGGCAAATAAAACTTAGATTTTTGAAAGTGTGAGGTGTTTCATGCTGTTCCCACCATGTCGATGGTTCAGGCCCGACCTGTCCTATTCTGAAAAGATAAATTTCTCAGAAAGGGATGTCATGGCGGTATTTTGTACAACCAACGAGGGTAGATGGTTTGACTACATGAATATATCCAAATATCTTTACTGCTTTTTGATACAAGGATGCTCACAAAAGGATGGCCAATGAATTATTTTCTATAAATCGGATCTCTTTGAGAGTTGAATAAAGAAATCTTTGACTTCGATAGTTTGTGCCTGAGACCATGGATGGTTTATCCTGAAGTGTTCAGCTTCTCAAAAGACTGTTTGCTTTACCCTGACCTTATTCTCCAGCTCCCACAAGCCTATCTTTCCATCATCATCTCCTGTTGCTCGCTCATAGGTTTTGCAACTACTCTGTGTTTCTTGAGTTTTCCATGATGTACTTTTTTCTTCTGTTTTTTTTAATAGTAGTTCCATGCTACTTTTACTTTTCACGCCAAACTAGGCTTAGTCTTTGCAAGTCCCATAGCACCTTTGAATGCGGGCCATTGAAGGGTGCTCTGGTGTGGTCTGCTATTGTTCCACTTTCTCAGTGTTTCTGTTGCTTAATATTTTCCTGGAGAAATTGCAAGTGCGATATGATATAAACTACCCCTCAGTTGAAACATCACCAAGCTCTGTTCTTGTTTGCTTTTGCTTTGATGCCCCTTGAATGAATCACAAGATAAATTATTCAGATGTACAATGCAAAAAATATTTGAACTTTTTAAAATCGCTGTTTCGTAGTCTGTGATAACGGTTGCAAGTGTTGGAAAGACATTTTGTCGAAATTCAAATTCTGAATGTTGGGGGAAAAAACAACAGTAAAAGATACATAATGCAGTTACAATTTTTAAAAGAATGAGTTTTTTTCTCTTGGCGGAAAAAATTTTGGTTTCTTGGCTCAGTTGAACAGCTTGCCAACTTTTTACTTAATTTAAAAATATTTGAAAGCTCACATCACATCCTAATAAAGATAAATGTATCTGTAGGATGATCCTGATGATGTTCATGATGTTGCAAGGAACATGTAGCTCAAAACTGCATTACTTAAATAATTATTAAACATCAAAAAAGCTCTTACATAAGGAAAAGTGAAGTAAGTTGACTACTGATTAGCCTGCTTGGTCAGTACCACCCTCTTGTTTATCATACAACCGTGGTTTTCTTCAGCAAAATGCGCCGTGTTCTAGTTCTGGCTGTACCAATGTCCTGTAATGTATTCCTGGACCTCGTTGTCTTTATGATCAGGATAGAGTATACTCATGATGGGGCTGTTAGTTCTCTGTGGTATTTTTATGTCTTTTTATCACACCCGTTTTGTCTACCTTTTGACTTACAGCGTCTCATTATGGATATAGGCTCCTTGACCATTGGTCATCCAGACTTTCAGCCAAGTGATATGGAATAAAAGCACTTAATGTTATAAAGATGTATTTCGTGATGAATGTATTTTGGCTTCTCAAATTGTTTCTGTGTCAGTTTTTTGTTGCAAGTAAGACGAAAATGGTCCTGCTCTGGAATACCCTGCAAATTCAGACTACTAAAACTATGTAGCTTATGTCCGATTTTCAACCAGTATATCGGTAGGTATATTATCAGTTAATGTTTCTGATGAATTTTGAAAAAAATAATTAACTTCAAGGTAGAAACTTTTCTGAACAATGCAGAAGATATTGGGTGCAATCATTCACTTGTCAATTACTATTTTCACTAGTCTTTCCAAGTGTTTATGAATTAAATGTCTTTTTAGATCTTTGTGATCAAGCGTTAGCAACAAAGTGTTTTCATTCTTTTTGTTTCTAGGGTGTTGTATTGAATTGAGTGGGAGCTTTGGTTTTGGGCCTCAAGGCACAATATTGTTATGGTCACATGCAGACTGTGTGTGTATCTTTGGAAAAAGTAACGACAGATCACATTTTAATGCAGACCATAAAATGTAGGCAAACAGAAATCTTCCTATGACACAAGGAAATATTTTGTGCTTACAAAAGTACTGACTTTGCCCGCAACGGTTATGAGAATAATTTATTGGTTGATAGATGAAAGCTTTGGAGCACTCGATTACAACCCCTTCGCATTCAAGATTGTCACTAAATGCACTCGTTGCTTGTGACTCAAATGATATCATCTATTGGAAATGGAAAAACATTAGACTAGCAACACAGCCATCTTTTTCCGTAACTTGCTGTTCTAATTATTTTTATCCTGTTTTTTTTTTTTCAAAGCACTACACAACCATCACAATGTTAATGTGCCTCTTGAGACCTTTAACAATATTGTATGTGTGTAATAGCACAAGCGTTTGTGTTGGGGTTGTACAAAATGTATTATTCATGTGTGTGTGGGTCTGTGCTCTCGTAACTTTGTCATATATTACACAAGCTGCAACGACCGATTAAACTGTATGTTTTTATGATCATTATTTCGTCAGCAAACTATTTAAATGTACTGAGCCCAGAAAGCAACATTTTACAGAAGAGAGAAAAGACTTTCATTCTTTTAATAATTGTACCTACATTATATTTTTGCTTTTTTCAACATTTAGAGTTCTTGAGCTCATACAACCTATACCACAAATTAAGAAACTGCAATAGTAATTTGAAAATTTTAATTTTAGGCTTAGCACATTTTAACAGCTGGCTGACAATTTGTATTTTACTTGAACTTGACCAATAGGATAGGACAAGTTCTTATTGATGGAAAAAAAAATTACTTTGTACATTTTTGATTTGATTGATTGGTTGAGCCAAGTTATGTCAGCTGTGCCACAAAGTCTTTTGTTTCTCTCATGTACATACTTCTGATTTACTTCCTGTAAATGCCTTTACATCTATTTTAGACTTGCATTTATCCTTTCAGAAAAGATGATGTACAATTCTGATCTTTTTCCTTCTGCTATTGTTTTGTTCATTTATTCCTTCTTTTTTTTTTCAAATTGTTCTATAGAAAAGGTGTATTTTTTTCGAATCATATGCTTAAAAGTATGTTATGTGTATTGCACATCACTCACAGACACACACTGATTACTGCAAATGGAACACTTTACAATACAAACAAGTATTCTCCTGTTCAGTAAGCTCTAGTTATGAGGGTTTGGGTTTAGGTTTTTTTCTCAAGACTTTTTATTTGGTTAAACATGTGGGAGGGTATTGACTAAATTAGGAGTTGATAAGATGTTCCCTTATGGTTGTGCAAATGTGAAATTTTCTGCTTATGGTCACGTAGGTAATTAAACCATGTGGTATACATTGTGTACGGTACTAAGTTACCTGCTTTGTCTAGAAGTAGTCTCAATTGCAGCAGATTTGTTTATTGCGACAATGATTTGCATTTATAGGAATATGTGCATGTACTTTACCGAGGTATGTCTTTCTTAACAGGGGCACCATGATATTGATACATGTACCGTACACTATTTTCCTTATCTTTAAATAGCACTTCAAAAAGTCTTAACAAGTGTAACAGTCAATAAAGGGAAATACGTCATTTATCTACCTGTTCTTTTTTCTTTATTGTTTAAAAAAAAAGATAAATGTGACATAGCTGGTGTGGAGACATGCTTGTGGATTTCTTGAGAGCATACAGTTTGTAGTGTACCCGTTGTCAGGCTCTTTGGGATGAAGCATGCACTGGGCATTATTTTTATGTCCGAGCCGAGAAATTATTTATGGAGCATCTCCGTCTGTCCGATGGGATGTTGTATCCCATCAGCTCAGGTTGGCCCTCAGGATCAAAATAATTAGCCTTCTGAATTATCCAAGTTGTGCTTACATGGGGACGTAAAACACAATCTTACACTTACTGTAGTCTGAATTTTGGGTGCTGGGGATCAAATCTTCACCCAGATGTGTAACGTAGCCAAAGTTTGTTTTCATTTTCAAGCTGTGGATACCATCTCTCTACAACCCATCTCGAAATGAAACTGGATTCCTTAGCTAAAGAAAGGGTCTCGATATGAGCAGCCTGAAAAACGTGACAAATTTTTCGTAGGCCAAAGCCGTCACCAAAATGGGGCTACAAGCAGAGTGAGCAACACCCTCACTAAAACTAGACTGACAACTACTTCCTCCTCACCGTCAAGAGAAGATTGTTCTGTTCAGATTCAGAACAGGGAACAACCAACTGAAACACTTTCACACATAGTTCAGGATGAGTAACTCAGACTAGTGTCAGTGCGGAACTGGCAGTCAAACAGGAAAGCATCTATTACAAGCCTGCCCAATGCTTGAGGCTTTTAAAAGGACAAATATTGGCTAAACCCTGGGCAGATAGACCCAAAGCTCCACAGGAGCGTGACAGACCTGCGGTGAACAACAACCGTCGCACTATAGATTGGGATGTCCACTTAAAGATGAACTAAAAGATTTCCGAACCAATATTTGATTGCCAGTTTAGCAACATGATTCAAGGGCCATTTTCGGTTCTTTCCTGGAATATTAAATGTATCTGTGAAACAAGTGGCTTACCATGGATAAAATGAATTGTCTGTGTCCAAAAGAGCTTTGTACTTTTATTTTAGCTGGGTTTTTTTTTTTAATTAAAGATGTTGCACATGCACTTCAAAAGATAAGTCTTTTGTTTCTTTAAATTTAAATTTAAAACTGAAAACTAGGAAAACCTGTTGCTTGAAAGACGAGGAGGAAAAGTTATCACTGACACTGACAGCAGCTCAATAGTGTATACATACAGCTGGTGGAAATTCTCATAGCCATTGTCTCTAACTGTAATTCAGTACAAAAATCCTCTTCCTGCCTGATCAGGTCCTCTTTCAACATACAGATCCACACACTTTGCTAATTAAGTCAAAGAAAAAAAGTATTTTTTATTTGACACATTTTATTTCAGAGGCTACATACATGTCACTATACATATTTGATTAGCATCATATACAACCAATGGTGTCTGGTTAAGAATGACAGTAATGACCAACAGATCAATGAGAAAAGGACGGTGACCATTCTAAAAAAATTGTGATGTAAGCTTGTTTTGATAAAAAAAAATAAAAAGGAAGGCAAAACGGAGGAAACAGTCTAGTACAAAATTGTGATCAGAAAAAAAAAGGCTTTGATGAGACTGGACTGAATCAAGACTGTATGTTCTTGTTACACTCTAAATCTAAATAAGTAGTGCTAGGCGATAAGCTCACAGTACCAAAATTCTGACTAGAATATTGTTACAAAGCATAATGGTATGTGGTTCACACTTAACCAGTCGGGATTTTTCCAATCGAGTGACAAGCAGGCTAAGATGTGAGATTCGTAGAGTCACACCAACAACAAAAAAATCACATTATTCATTGCCCAGTGAAAAAACTGTTTCCAACTTGACCTTACAGGGAGCTTCCACATTAACATTTCATCATTTACAGTGACAAGGAAATTATTTACTACAGTACCTGGCAAAAGAGAAAAGTTGATTTGAATAAGAAAAATTCAAATCTGTGCTTTATATTTTTGCTTGACTTGATTATGGTTTGTGGCTTAAATCACTGGGAGTCAAGATACAGAGAAAAAACCCCAAAACAACCAAAAAGTAAACAAACATGATAGGAAACTAGTTTCTGAGAACAAAACTTGCCACAAGCAAAAGATTTTTACTTAAAGCAAGTTTTGTAACATTATAATATTAAATCCATCATCTCATATATTATGTTCTCAACTAAACACACAAAGGAAAAGATATATCTTTTTCTTCGTAAGTGCATTGTAAGAAAAAGTACAGAAGATCCTCACCAGTAGAAAAAAGTTATTGTCTTGTAGTTTCTTTTCCAGCAGTTTACAGCTGTTGCATGTATGGCAGGCTTTTCAAGAAATGAGTTATTGCTGGAAAAAGTGGTCCCTCAAGGAAAATGACAAAACCAGAAAACTTCCCTGTGCTATAAAGAGGACAAAATGTGTTCAATATATACATACATACTGCATAATGAATTCACAAACACAACAGAATACAAGAAACAGGTAACAGTGACTAGCCTACCGCATAGATCGCATAGATCGTCTATTTCTTTTGTCTAGGAAAAATATGTTGTAAACACAAAAACAGAGCAATGATCTCAAACACCGAATTTACAAATAGCCAGCTAACTGTCAGGACCAGTGCCAGTACGCTAACTGTCTACTTTGTTTTTCCAACTGCTCAATGACCTGAATACCCATATAATCTGCTACTGCCAAGACCATCCATTCAATGCACTACTCCCAATAGTGACACAACTTCTGTTCCAAGGTTGCAAGAAATCTAGAAATTTAGTCTGTAGTCCATTTCAAAACTTTCAAACAAACTTTGATATATGGCACTAGAACTATGTTGGGTTTTTTTTTGTAAATTGACATTGAAATGGGCTGTAAATTGAAGCTTACAGCTTTCCTCTAAAAATCTAAAATAAACCCACGAGGAAAGAAAGCAGAAACAAAAGCTCTGGCATAAAACATCATTAGATGAGGAAGTAACTGGCAAAAACCCAGAACTTATTCTAGCTAAGAGGAAAGACACTTGTTTTGAAACATCCAATGGTAGGAAACTTGAACCTATGACACATTCATTGCGCATAGAAGACATAACTGATGGGAATTCAAAATTCTCGTGAGATCTTTAACATTTACTAGATCAGCTGACAATACGAAAAAACTGGCCACTGAGCAAAACTAGGGACACCACTCAGCTACACGTGGAGTTATGAAATGACATGAAAACAATGAAACAGGCTACAATAACCAGACATTTAGAGACAGAGAAGGAAAAAACACGCACATGCAACATCAACTCGGACAGACAACACTCAGACCACTTTCTTGCCACCACTTATGCCAATTGACAAATATTGTGCTTCAAATACCAGGTGCTTACACATATGAAACAAGTTGCTTACAAGTTTTATCCTTTGAGCTTGTGCATCGTCTACATATGTGCTCCAGTCACAAACTGCTGGGCATTTTTAAACTTAAAATGCACAACTACAGGAATGTACAAAGATAACCATACACCATACGCAGCACCACAATTAACCTGATTACATACATAAATATAAAATAACAAGGCATTGCACCTTGTTGAAAAAAGTTACATCACTTAAAACATACAAAGCACTCCATTCAAATAAACATTTCGATCACTTACACATTGGCGTCTGATTAATCACAGTTAATTGCTTTTCACATTTTCCGACGATCTAACTCATACAAAGCAAGAACGGCCAGAGAGCTTTACAAGTGTCACACCAGCATGCTGACAGCATGCATCCAACTAGATATTTGTTCTCCATATTCTGAAGGAATGTGACAAACCCTTAATGTCAAAGCCATTAAAGCTGGTATTTCTTAAATTGATCACCTTAGTCTGAACACATGGCGATGATAGTGCATGTACTTCCAACGGAGAAACAACTTTGCTCACAGATACACTAAGTAGAGGTGTAACAACAGATGCCTCGTGGCAAAGAGAGCATAGACCCACCATTACAGTCATGCTGACACAAAAGGCCCTCTACTGCTCTGCCCAGAGGACATCACCATCATCATACTATTCTCTTATTCTTGTCATGTACAGCTTGAAAAGACATAGACTGCCTCAAATTACAGACATAACCCATGACTTTTGTTGTTCAAATCCTTTGTTCTAAACTATACACATCAAGGAATGGAATAACACACTTCCACTAAGAGCTAGGCCAAAGAACCAAGCAGTTTTGTGAACTTACACCAAAATGTCAAATCTAGAAATAGTACTTAACTACTCATGTAAATGCAAACTGCACTTACGATTTTAAAATATATTTATAAAGAACAAAAATGAAAGAATGATGTTGCAGGGAAGAAACAAAAAAAAGTAGACTAAAAAATATTTTATATCAGAACATTGGCTCAACCAAAAACCAAACTAAAGAATCTATAGAGCATGGCGCTTTTTTCAGACTCCAAGCAAATCCAAAGTACCCGAAAATTTTTAGAGGCAGAAAACTTATCACTAGTGACAACATTTTTCAATAGGTTTTGAAATTTCAGCTTAAATAAAACACTAAAAGGCTTCTCACTATCTTCATTATAACTGGGTAACTTCGGCAGATGCCTGTTGACTTGAAGAGGCAGCCTCTGATGACCTTGAGTAGTACTTCTGGAGAGTGGCTTGGGGGATTCTCTTGAGCATCTCCTTGGGGAAAATTCTCAGCAGCTGCCAGCCAATGTCCAGGGACTCGAAGATAGTTCTCTTTTCGTAATGGCCTATGAAGAAAATTCACAATCATGAGAAGAAAATCAAAATCTACAATGACTGTTCTCACACCCCATCGCAAAGTTACTTTTGCTGGGTGGGGGGGGGGGGGGGGAGGAGGGGAGACTGTCTTGGATTACACACACATTTTGAAGTCTGAGATAAAATCGTACAGATTCAGGCAAAACACTGTCAGAAGGTACCATACACAACAACTGCCACAAAAAGCTGACAGATAATTTCAAAACCTGGAAACAAATTTTACTGATATTCTGAAAACTTTGAAACCTTGTCTATTCACACAGAAATATTTCTTTGTCACTAAACTAAGAATAATTTGACCAACAGTTCAGTCACGTAATGCTTTTATCTTCTAAAACAACCCCAATACTTTACAAAATAAGATGATAAAATATACCAAAGACCCATCAAGGACCTTGGAGAGCCTGAGAGACTTACCTTGAGTGATGAAGTTCTTTTCGAATTTGCCCAAAAATTCCAGGTACAACAAATCCTCCGGGGTCAAAGCCTCTTCTCCCACCACAGCTTTCATGGCCTGAACGTCTTTGCCAATAGCGTAGCATGCATACTGAAACGGTCAATCAAAAGTAGTGAACATCTTGACAGTGTATTACACAGACTATCAATATATTACGTGTACACCTTTCAGACTGATAGGATTGACATTTTCAGGACCAAAAATGTTTTACGAGGGCAACATTATTCTGAGAGCTATAGCACACATCTTTATACATGTCTACTGATCATAAATCTGAGAAGTATTGCACACATCTTTATACATGTCTGTTAACTGACCATACATCTGAGAGCTATAGTAGACATCTTTATATATGTCTACTGACCATAAATCTGAGAAGCATTGCACACATCTTTATACATGTCTACTACCTGACCATTAATCTGAGAGCTACTGCACATATATTTATACTCGTCTATTAACTGACCATACATCTGAGAGCTATAGTAGACATCTTTATACATGTCTACTAACTGAACATAAATCAGTAAGAAAGCTAAATTTCAATAGAGAATCTTATCATGAGTACTGCAACTTCTTTGAGAGAATAATGGCTGATGCCAAGTCATCTGAGATGCTTAAGAAGACTGAGACAAAAACAGAACTGAAGAACAGATACATTCTACCATAACCGGGATTGGTAAAAATCATTATAAAACCAAATTAAGTCATTATGCAAATAAAGATCATTAAAGGGAGCTGCAACCCAAAGAATCTTCACTTAGAAGGACCATCATTCAACAAAGCAATATTAGTACTATTGCTCGAGATTTAAAAAAAAATATTTTTTAAAACTCACCAGCTGGTTTGACACATCAGCATGATCAGCCCTGGTCATGCCTTCTCCAATGGCAGATTTCATCAAACGAGACAGTGATGGGAGCACGTTGATTGGTGGGTAAATCTACAATGCATCAAAAAAAATTTTTAATACAAAATTACATTAGACCGGTTATTTCTGAAAATGTGATAATGATTTCAAATAAAGAGAAATAATAGATTCATGTTCCCCCATTTCAGTTTTGATATTACAAAAACACATGTCATCAAATGCTCATCACAGACAATAAAATCTAGGCAATTATGTTTACTGCTTTATGTAGGTACCAGAAACTAAATTTTCAAACTAGCTGTATGCCAAATGTATCTGTTCCATTTGAAAGGCCTATATCCACTGAGCATTTTGGTACCATCCTTTAACCTCTCCGTCAATTTTTAAGAAAATTGTAGTTGTTTAAAATTTGATCAAATTTGTTAAAGTCAGTCACTGGCTGCAACCCCATGTTTGACAGACAATAAAAAAGTAACAAGTGCACTAAACATCTCCACATTAACAGAGTACAATCACTATAACAAATATATGGAGCATAATTTTTTTCAGGACTGTGAGATGTTTACAAATCAGTACTTTATCACCTCAAACACGATATCTGTCGTTATTTCGACAAAAACACCGAGCATTGACCCGGCCGCGTCGCACCGGCCCCCACGGCGAGCGAGTCGGCTCTATACTGTAGTGTACCCCGCGTGCGGGGTCACATGCTTTCTGAGTCTCGCAGAAGGATTGATGTAAAATAATTCCAATTTAATTACTTTATTCTAATAGAAAATGAACTGATCTTTTAATTAATTTTTTTATAAGCCGGTATTTTACATATTTTGTGTAAAAAGTGATCTTTAAACATTTTGACGGTATTTTTAAAAGCTTTCTATAAAGACGCCAAAGGCTAAACTTATATCACGGGAAAGCCCGTTTAAAGTTCTACAGTTCTCCGCCAATGAAAAGACGGTATTTAATCATCCCTCGTTCCGCGAATCATTTGAATGCACGCGTGTCAATTTTTCAACCGGCCGACCTCGCATTCTGACCGCGAGGGGCTTCGCTTTCGTCGGCGATTCTCCAGCTCCTAATAATCGGACATATAAACAACTTACACTATTGTAACGAGGAAAAGCTGAACTTTTACAAGGTGTACGGCATTTGGTGTTTTATAGCGAAAGAACAAAGAAACAGCGATCGGAAATAACCCAATTTTACCGATACCACGCGGTCGGAAGGCCGCGAGTGCCCGCGAAGCCGTGTTTACGCTACCTACTTTATGTAATAAAGTGTGTTCAGTCACTTGAAATGATCAAAAGTAAAGAGTTCACTATTTTGTTGAATCATGTAACATGTAAACGTAGATTGGTACCAACATTCTAAGAAGAGAAAACGTTACACTTTTTTTTTCTTGGGGGTTGGGGGGAGGGAGTTTGCCATTTAAGTACCGTCACTGCTAGTAGAATAAATAGCTCCCAGTATTTTATTTTTACTCACCCTGTGAAAAATCAGGTTCAAAGACAGTTACCAAATTTTCTTGTGACCGCAGAGGTACATGTAACAAATTGAAAACACACTGTATGGCATTACACCACACGACCTACCTGACGATTGTGCAGCTGTCTGTCGACGTACATTTGTCCCTCAGTGATGTAACCAGTCAGATCAGGAATTGGATGGGTAATGTCTGTAAAAAAAAAAAGTACAACTGTTGAAGTGCATTCACAAGCTCACCAAAACCCCCCCCCAAAAAAACAGCCACCCAAATCCCCCCCCCCAGCCAAATCAGTATGACAAAATCTGCAAACAAAAACTACAGACAAATTTAAACTATCCTGCTATCTCTAAACACTCTTCCCTAAAAGGGTGAATTGGTTTGACCTTTGAGAAAGGCTGACTGGTCAGCTTTTTTAGTTTAGTTTTAGTAGAGTTTTAATGGTGCTCACATAAGGTCATATGAGCGCCTAGGGGTGGACGTCAACAGAGAAGTCCTTACAGGGAATCAGGCTTACTCTGCTCACCTCTCTAGCTTCAACAGCACAAAGTCTGCTTCGACTATTAAGGCATCCTGAGCTGGTCACAAAAGTGTGACAAACATAAAAAGAAGTAGAGGAAAAATGACAATAGTAAGGATAAGGAAAGAGAAAGCAGCAGTTCCCTGTTGAAGTTCAGGCACAGTTATGAGCATGACATCGATGAATCAGCCCATTTACCATTCTACTGTGCATAAGAACATGTTAATGTCCCCCCTTTAGGAATGGACTAAAGACACTTCAGTCAGTAGCATCGCCCCGGGGGGTTGGTCAGCTTTTTTATTTCTGTGATGATTTACAAATCATTTCTCACAAAATAATACAAAACCATTGTCACTGAGCATAGGTGACTTGAAAAAATTCAACTTGTAGCCAATGATTAAAGAGCTTATATGGGTTATACGTCAAGTAATACTATAATTGTGAATGTTTTATATCCCACAAACAAAATTTAAATAATTTAGAAGGCAGGCTGCATTCATCCAGCCTGTCAGGGCCAACCCATGAAGAGAGGGATACAATGTCACGGCAGAATGACAACGATACTTTTAAAAAATTCTCCCTGCTTAGGAATCAAACACATCTTTCACATGTGATGGCAAAGTGCCTAACCGCTACACCCCATATGCTGGTGCATAAAGTAGGACACCACCCAACTCATAATTAATTGCTACAAAAGAGAGCAAGGATTTTTAAGGACATGCACTTTTCAAATTCAAAGTAAGAGCATTGCTTGAAACATATCATTACCATCGTTGGGCATAGTGAGGATAGGAATCTGTGTGATAGATCCGTTCCTTCCCTCAACACGACCGGCCCTCTCATAAATGGTGGCCAAATCGGTGTACATGTAACCAGGGAAACCACGACGTCCCGGCACCTCTTCTCTAGCAGCAGACACCTACAATACAAACAATCATTTAATCAAAGGCAAGAAAAGACAGGGGTAGCAAAAAGTTGAAAATGATGACCGAGTACTTTTCTCTATTATCACCACAACATTGATTATCTACTTTCAAATGTACAGATTTTTTGGTGGGGTTTGCTGGTAATATAATTATCTAGATCTTATTTAGCAAAGCCACTCACACAAAAAATAAGAGTCTAAGCGAAAGGCTTGAATTTCCATAACTCATTAAAGTAGAATCTCTGGAAAGATTAATAAAAGCCAAGCTGACAGCAGCACCACTGGACTCCTACAACTAGAATGGTAAACTCAAGGTAAAAAATATTTCTGTAGTATGAGAACAATGCAAAACTACATAACTTGAAATATTCTGCAACATTCCCTCTCTTCAATAGTAAATGTTCCATAAAGTTCTCCTTGAGATATGACCTTTAACCCTACAGACCCCTGCTATAGTTACCCTTCTAAACACTACACACGCCTCGGTGTGTGGCACTGTAAATCTAACAGCCATCCCTATGAATCTTAGGTTCACAGATCATGTTGGCTCAAACAGTGAAGATACGATAAAATACAGTTTCCCCCAAGGCCACAAAGTTAATACAGTGGAACCTGCTCTAACGGCCACCTATATAAGACAGTCTCCTGTACAAACGGTCATTTCTTATTTCCTCCTTTGCATTTTATTTACAATATAATGCCACTGTGTAAGACATCCACCGGTCTAATACGGACACTTTTCTCCTAAACAATGGGTGGCAATCTTAGACAGCTTCAGCTGTACTTCCCTACACTGAGGGACAAAGCATTGTCTAGAACACAGAATGAGAAAACTGAGACAGTGACAAACCTCTCTCAAGGCCTCAGCGTAGGAGCTCATGTCAGTGAGGATGACCAGGATATGCTTCTCACACTGGTAGGCGATGTACTCAGCTGTAGTCAGGGCAATACGTGGGGTGATGATACGCTCAATGCTGGTAAAAGAAACAAATTTAATGCAATTATCATTTCCCTTAACCCTATCCGTAAGCCCTGAGGTCATTTTGTACCCCCGGGATTGTATTCTTCACATTTTAGAATACTTCTAGTACTAAGGTCTCCTTTAAACTATCAGTATTTCTCAAAAAATGGTTTTGGCAGACTGCTACGCAAAGCGTACGGATCGGATTAACGAGTAAATTTCCTCTTTGGAAAGTAGTGGCACAGAGTTTTCCACGTTGTATGGATACGATAGTAAAACACGACGTACGGATAGGGTTAAAGATCCTGTTTTTAGTTTTAGTAAGAGTTTTACAGCACTTGCAGCACAATAAGATCATATAAGTGCCAAAGATTAGAGGTGTTACAAGAGAGTAACAAACACAAAAAAAGGAGAGATAAGGACGATAGATGTTTGATAGAAAAGAAGGAGCACACCACACCAGAGCACCCGCCAACCACCCACAGATCCTGTTTAAAAATTTAAAATAAGCAAAGGAGGCAGAGAATATAGAGAATGGAATGAAGGGGCTGGAAAAAAGTAAACACTAAATAATAACTATATTACTGGTAACTGCAAAAGGAGACAAGTGTGGACAGCTTTTATCATTCAACTGGGGTTGGACACATCCAAAGGGGTTTTTTTCTTCTTCAGGCTAGAACTCAAATAAACCATGAAATCGATTTAACTAACCAAGAAAATATGTCATTTAGTTCATCATACTCTCCACTCTACCTACCTAGCTGGTCTCATGAAAACGAAACCGCACTAATTTGTAAAAATACAAGTACCATACCAAACTATTTGCTCAAAACTCACGTAGGATCGTTGGCCAAGTTCAAGAACAAGCACACATTCTCCATGGAACCATTCTCTTCGAAGTCTTGTTTGAAGAATCGGGCAGCTTCCATGTTCACCTAAAAAAATAAATATATCTACTTTCAGCTTACATCATCATATAATAATCTCTTGCTTCTTTAAAAAATCTGACTCTTAATTAGGATCCACTCTCAGCATAGTATCTGCGTCTTGCAAAGCTTTGACTAACTTTCGTAATTTTCTTTCTATGCAGAGTACAAATTCACTCAACCAGCTATATAAATGACTGATTTGTTCATACATCAAACAAAGCACAAAAAAGTTCTTACACCCATAGCAGCAAATACGATGGCAAAGTTATCTTCATGGGCGTCTAACACACTCTTCCCTGGAAGTTTCACAAGACCAGCCTGTCGACAAATCTGGGCAGCAATCTGCAGACAAAGAAGGCATAATAAATAACATGAGTCAGCAAAACATAACATGGAAAATGCACAGTAACGCAAATAACAAAAATACTCAAGTACTTCTAAATGATGGTATACATTCAGATCCGAGAAGGCTGAAACCCACCATGGCACAGACAAAAATAATGATCTCTCCACAAACATCTCAAGCAAACAAAGAGGAAAAGTACATATGTATATTTTGTCTACCTTTGCCCTGAATGTGAATAAGACTATGACACAACAATAATATATTTCTTGTCTAGGAACACAATAATGACATGACAATGATGTCCACTTACTTCATTGTGAGGAAGACCAGCAGCTGAAAAGATGGGAATCTTTTGTCCTCTGGCAATACTGTTCATCGTGTCGATAGCAGAAATGCCAGTCTCAATCATTTCCTCGGGGTATATACGAGACCATGGGTTGATGGGCTGACCTGAGGGTTTTGAAAGTATGCATTATCTTAAATGTTTTTGGTTTTTTTAAGGAAAGGGGAAAGAAGGATCCCTTTTCTTAAAAAAGCTACAAATCTAACTGAATTATATGTCAACTCTAAAACTGCTTAGCATAGAATATCAATACAGTCTTTAGATCAAGCCATTCAAAACAATAACCATAAATATTAATCAAAATCAACTGCTTCTTTGTTTGTTTGTTTTTAAAATTATCTCATATAGAAAAAAACAACAACCATCCTCCATCTACTTTTCCATTTTCTCATCCCACTGACCATACCTTGAATGTCCAGGTAATCCTCAGCAGTTACAGAGGGTCCGTTGTCAATAGGCTTTCCAGATCCATTGAAAATTCGGCCTGTATATCAATGAAAAGAAAACTAATGAACTACAAACATCTTCATTATATATATGTATCTCAACCTTTACATGATCAAATGAAAATAAAACCAAAGCAGACTTCACTCAAAGTAAGAGGAGAGAGTCAACCAATGCATCTATACAAATCAATAACCAATTAACTCTCCTTTTGCTATTTTACTTCTTAAAACATATACAATCAGAAGGTTTTTTTTTTTATCTCCATCAATAATGTAACACCAAATATTTGTATGTCTAATCTCCTTCTGTCCACTCTTCTGAAATCTAAACTAATTCTTTCTTTTAAAAAATATATACAACCACTTTTGTTCCACTACATTCAAGCCATTAGTCTTAGTTATTCCAAATTTAATACATTACGTGACTCACCAAACATGTCCTCTGAGACAGGCATTCTCAAGATGTCTCCAGTGAACTCACACCTTGTGTGTTTTGCATCAATACCAGAGGTTCCCTCAAACACCTGAAATATAAATCATTTCATTATTTATGAAAATGGTAAACCATTTTAACGTTTAAGTTCATAGACCCCCAATGAAGGCACTGAGTTAAATGGAAAGGCACCCTCGGGAAACGTGTGCCTGAACACCACCCCCCCCCCCCCTCATATTTGAATCCTCTGGCTCAGAGATCTTGCCTAATTTGTCAACCATCCTCCCCACAGAAGCTTACAAACTTTCTCACCAACGCACAGCAAAAATGAAAATACCATCCAAGGCATTTTTCATACAAACATGACATTTCAGTTATGGTACAGTAAAGAACACTTCACTCAAATATCATTACTAAGAACAAAATTTCTCAGGCAAACAAGTCACATTGTATTGACAAAGTCATTCAAGGTCAAATGTAAAAATTTTCAATGTTTAACTGTTACAGTCTGCATTAACTGATTCTCTTCCATCTTTCTGTTTCTTTTATAAAAACCGTTAGCTTCGAAGTAAAAAAAAACTACTTCCATTATCTACAAAAAGTCATTACACTTTATTTTTCTTTACTGCTCCATCATAACCGTCTCAGTTTCAGCTCGTGTTCAGATATCCAATGCTGAATAAAAGTTACACACTCAAAACACAGTTTGTATGATGGTCTTTTAAATAGGTACTTACCTGGACGACAGCTTTTGAACCCATGACTTCCAACACCTGTCCACTCCTCTTGGTTCCATCTGCCAATTCCAAGTTAACGATTTCGGCAAACTTGGGAAACTAATACAAAAAACCAAAAAGTCAAGTGAAAAAAAAGTCAATATATTTGACCAATTTAAAAGCACTAATCAGGTTATAAAAAAGTAAATATACAAGATTTATATTACCGGAATACCGTTTTGGATTTTACTATAACTCACAACAACAACAGCACTGACAGTCAGGAACTTAATAGATTTGTATACAAGACGAGAGGAATCTTGTTTAGTTCAATTAACACTTTGGCTATTCCTGACGACCAGTCATTGGTGTGGCCATTCATTACCACTAGCTGATCCTCACTAGTTTGTGTAAATTGGTCAACTCAAGCTGTTACCAGAATAATCAAAAGCAGAGAATGAACGATAGGTCTATTATCATTTTTAAAATTATAACTCTTGTCCTGCGGGGTTAACCGGAAGAGGGCTCTTATCGATCGATGACCCACTTACGTCGCCTGCGGGCTTGTGCCGCGGGGCGCCGGGGTCAGGCACTGGTCACGCGAGCGTGCCGCGGCAGGTCAGGGAAACACCTCATCTTTTATAGCAAACTGATACGATCAATGAATAAGTGTTACGATCACACGAATAATCCCATTATCCCCTCGTCGGTAGATCAGAGATGCTGAGATTGGAAGTTACACCAAATCGAATAACTTTTCCAGAGTTTTCCAGATTTCACACCTATTATGAATGAACTTGCGAACAGCTGCTTATCAGCTATCGTTCGAAAGGGGAAAAAATGGGATAATTTCCTAATATTTTTTTTATTCAGTTGCTCTCAAATGTCTCCCTCTGGTAGGACAATGGTTCAAAAACCACCAAATATGATTATTTACATCAGGAAACAACGTTTGGTGTAAAAATTAGATCGTTTGAAAAGTGAGGAAAGGTGTTTGCATTGAAAGATGAAAGTCCTTTTTCCTGAATATCCTTTCGAGTCCCTCAAGTGTCTAACTGGGTCAAAATGCTCATATTTCATTGGATGAACGTCTCAACCGACGCTCTGTTATCTCTACCAACGCCTCACGTTGCACAACAATGCAGTAAGTTTCAGATGGACATTCAGGCACAAGCAGATTGACGCACACACATTTTAGCACACAGATGCAGACCCCGCCGTAAACGAAATGACTGATCAGGGACCAGCTGTGGAGCGCCGCGCTGGATTGCGCGTATCGGGCAAACATTTATCAGGGACCAGAATCTTAAGGGTTAAGATTTATTTTCCAATGAACATATGTATTTACATATATATCTTGCACCTTTCAGTCCCTATGAGCACTGTGAATGCAGATTTCTTGAGAACAAAGAATTACTAAGACAAAGCCTTATATTTTCATAAACCTAACCTCGAACCACTGCAGTTTTGCTGCAGAACACACATAGGATGATGGCCACTAAAACCCTTGCAAATCAATTGTTTTCAAGAAAATATCAAACCTTACTAAGACATCCGCCTGAGACCCCACATGTTAAACACAAGTCAAATATTACTGCACCATTGTACCTATAACTTGTATAAAAATATCCATACATCTCACAAACTCAAAAATTTCAGTGGATATAAAAAGTCAAAATTTGTGTCAACAAGCAGAAAGAAATTAACAACAAAAGTGCTTTAGACAATACAGCGGAATCCTGTTATAGCGAGAGGGAGGGGACTGGAGCAAAATGTCCGTTATAGCAGTATTCTCTTTATAAGGGATTCAGTAATAAATCCAAGGGAAAAATTAAGGTCTGCTTTATTTCTCCGAACGTTCGTGAAAATATATTTGAACTTTATTTCTCTGAATGGTTTCCGTTCTCGAGATTTGTTGATAATAAGTGAATGGAGTGGCCCTTATGTGTGTTTGTGAGTGTGAGTGTATGTGTGTAAGGTGTGTAGTGTGTGCATGTGTGTGTGTAAGGTGTGAACGGGGCGTGGGGTGTAGGGATTTTTTTTACATGAAAGATTTTAGTTTTTGCAGGGTGACTAAATGCAAAATAGGTTACTGCCAAGGTCAAGCAGTTTTGTTTTCTCGCAGCACCTTTTGAAGGTATTTTCAAATTGAAGTATGGTCCGGGAACGTTGTCCCAACCACAACTGAAGTATCTGAATATTCAGACATTTAAAAATCTCTAGCTCTAGAAATTGGATTCGATGCAAAAAATGCTTCCTTCCAGTCCTTGCAGAATGAATGAAAGGATACACCCAAATCTCGTAAATAACCAAAAAAACTTGAGATCACAAACCGTTCGGAGAAATAGTCACTTCGAAAAATTAAAGTAGGAGGCCTAATCTACGAGTTTGGTGTTCTAGAACTGTTTATTTCTTTTTGTTATCTCCCCTGATGATGATTTTGTTAAACATGACCTCGACGTTTTACTTAATCAAAAATCGAATCAGGCTTCTTTCTCTAGCTTTAGGTCTAGCGATGTTAACAGCTCGGCGTTGGCAGTTAGAAAGAAAGGGCTTTAGGTTAACTCGCCCCGCTGTGTTACCCACACCTCACCACACTCAGTTGTATGTTCCGTCTGCTTGCACATGTCACACATTCGCTCCATCCATCACAGCACTGTGACCTCTTCATCCCAGCACCGGAGAAGCGAGAGGTATGGTAGGTCTGGATAATATCTAAACTAGGCTGGCCTATCACGAGATGCATTTTGCATGTCTGCGCATGCCACACCCTTCCCACTCATTCGCTCCTCTGCTTTCATTGTTGGCAGACGTGGGTTCTCCCATTCCTTGCTATCACTAGATCACCAAAACGTTTCTCAACTGGAGAGGCCTATGCGCTGTGCACAGCAGCAGCAATATTCCGCTATAACCGACTCGAACATTTGTATGATTGCACTATAGCAGTATTTTATTTACAAAGATGAAGAAGGAAAAAAACAGGGTTTTAGAATGGAAGTGGCTATTCTCATCCGGGGTGAGAATAGAAAAACGATCTACCTCTCACCCCAGGTGAGACTTGCCAGCGTAGGCTAT